TTGTACACCCCCATTGATGTCAGACGAGTTACAAGTGTAACAGAACAGAATTGTCCTTCCTTTCCCAACTCCCCCTTCCCCATGCAGAGTTCAGAGCTCTTATGCCATAGTTATCTCCAGGTGTTGCTTGTTTAACTGAGCCCTGTTTATCTGTTTATCAGATCGTTATGTGACTGAACTGTTGTTTTTAGCGAAATACGATTAATCAGATGTAACTTAACCAAGCAACTGCTGCCACCTTTGCGTGCGAAGCAATTAAAGCAATGTGATGCTGTTGCACTGAGAATAACAGTATAACGAACAGCCAAGCGTTTTAGGAGTCGGGCTGTAGCTCAGTCGCATGGCCAAGTCAGCAAGGCCTTTTTTGGAGGTGAGCAGCGCTTACTGGCAAAGGAAGTGCTGAATTGGCTAGAGTGCCAAGGGAGAGAGATTGCTGGAGCGGAAAAGCATTGTGGAGAGCCGGGACCAGGCTTTAGATGGCTAAAAAGTGCGAGCTCTGGGGCTGAATGAATAGGCAAGGGAGTGATTTCCATTTCAACCCATGCTTGTGCTATCCCCTAGCCTAGCCGGGAGTGCTTTGGTTGTAAAATGAAAAGTACAGCCATGTGGCCATCTGTGCTACACTATGTGAAAGGCACATCGGTAAAATTAATAGTTTGCACAGGTCTGGAACCAGCCTTATTTTAGCAGCGGAAACTCGGCTCGGGAATAATGGGGGGGGGGGGGTGGAAAGGGGGGAGGAGAACTCCCTCAGGCATTGGCCTCGTGCATGACATTAATCCCGTGATGTCTCTGCCTGGGTGGCGGGATAGAGCGGTGTCTCCGCACCTTCCCCTGAGCGCCTCTGCCAACCTGTGAATCACGGTGTAATTTAAGAGCGGCACCGCTCGCTCTTACATGTGCCAAAGTTAACGGAGGTAAAACTCCTGCGGGGGGTGTGGGACGTATTATTGCTTTGTGCTTTGCCACCTGGGATTTCAAACCAGTTACCCGGGATCGGAGGGAGCAGCCGCAGCTTTCTGCTCTGAGCGCTGGCGGGGGGTGTTAGCCGGTAACCCGACAAATGCTCGGTCACGCCTGGCTGGGCAATGTCTTGGGGAGGACACTTCTCACTTGTTTATGGCACTGCTTCCAGCACCTGGCTCTCTCGTGTCCCAGTCATTCCTGCTGCACCAGCCCCATCCACCTGATTCCAGAGCAGCTCCCCACGACACCAGCCTTCCTTCCCTCTCATCCGCTGCGGGGGGGAGGGGAGGAGTCTCGCCCGCCATCCCCAGCCACACGCGCCAAGGGCCGAAGTGACACAGCAGCACCTAACGGGGCAGCCTGGCCAGGGCTCTCCCCGCTCAGCACGGTGGAACCAGCAGCAAGGGGACAGGTAGCTGCACACACACACCGCTCCCCTCACCCGCGGGCCCCTGCTTCCCGAGCGCAGTGCGCCCCCTCCCGGCAGCTACGTCCCGTGCGCCCCCTTCTCTCCCCCTGCAGCTCCCGCTCCCCCAGCTTCCCCTTCTGGCTGCTCCCAGAGCGACACCTCTCACCCTGCGCTGCAGCGCCTTTGAGCTCTCTGAAAGACACCCCCCACACACACTCCGCCGCCCTTCCTCTCCGCAATGCCGCTCCCCGGCCCCCACCCCCATCCACCCCGTACCTG